GATAGGTAAAAGTGTAACTAACAATAGTGCATTAGAAGGAGTTAGAAAAAAACACTTTTGCTCACACACTGTGGGTACTTGTAAGACCATAGTACTGAATTGAGCATAAAGAAATAAATCCTCAAAAAAGCAAAAATTAAACAAAATTCGAAAGAGATGTTTAAAAGCGAAGACACGGTAAAGCCACTGATTTGGTGATTTTATAAAGTTCTTGATTTTAGCCTTTTTGGAACTCATTCCAAAGAAAGACACAGCTGTACCATTTTGGACTTTTCCTATATTATTTAGTTTTATACAATGAATAATGGTTATAATGAATACATAAATTGAAACCTGTGGCAACAACTGTCTAGCAAATGATTGGTGGACTTGTACTTAAACCTGCTTGTGTGAAAATAGTTGAATTTCAATTTAGTTCCTTTTTTTTTTTTTTGGAGAGATTTTCGCTATAAGGCGTGTGCGCTCACCAGAAAGACAGAGACAGAGAGACAGAAAGCAAGAAATCACCCCTCAGGGGGAATGGTCACGCCACAATCCCTTCTCCTCCATTCTCCTCTTGGGATCTTGGGCACACACGCACATGCGCCTGGCGTGAGTTTTAAGCCACCGGGACGCAAACCGCGGTCGACTACATGGGAGTCCAGTGACACAGACATTACGCTAATTGCTAGTTCCCCAATTTAGTTCTGATTGTCAGTGTTACTATCAATATGTGTGGACCTATCTTTGTTTTTCTAGTTGTGTTCTCTTACTTCTGTTGAGTCACCAGGAAAATCATGAAGCATTTTTTGCATAGAAAAATATGTCATGACTTTACTGACAACCTGATATTTGTCTCCCTTTAGCTTTCTTGGGGCAGCAGTCTCTTAAGTATTTCCTGAAGAGCTTATTTCATTTTGGTGAATTTGCTCAGCACTTGTTTATGTGGGGATGATTTGATTTTTCCTTCCCCTTTGAAGGATAATCTTGCTGGATGTAGTACACTTGGCTGAAAGTTCACAGTTTTAAATGTATCTTTCCATTCTTTCCTCACGTGCATTGTTTCAGCTGAGAGATCAGATGTTAGTCTAATGAGGTAACCTTTGTAAGTAACTTGAAATTTCTTTCAACATTTTTAGAATTTTGTCTTTCTCTTTGATTTTTACTTATTTGGTTGATATTCCTTAGAAAGGACCTTCTTATGTTATATCTATTTGTATCTCCTGGATTTGGATGTCTGCATGCTTCTCTACATTTGGAAAGTTTCAGCTAATATATTATGAAAGATATTTCTATGCCTTTGCCTGTCTCTTCACCTTCTGGAATACCTATTATGTGGATATTCGGCTGTTTATATATATATATGTATATGTATATGTATATGTATATGTATATGTATATGTATATGTATATGTATATGTATATGTATATGTATATATACACTGGTTACCTAGACTAAATTAGAGATTTTGTCTTCAAGGTCAGAGATTCTTTTTTCTGAAGGGTCTAATCTGCTGTTGATGCTTTTGAGGGAGGTTTTGATTTCCTGCATTGTATTCTTTATCTCCAGAAATTCTGCTTGATTATTTTTTTGTGTCTGTTTCTTTATGGAGTTCCTCCTTCAGGTCATGGTAGAACTTTCTCATATCCTGGAATTGGTTCTCTGTTTTCTCTTGCATCTCACTGAGTATTGTTACAATTACTATTCGGAATTCTTTTTCTGACATTTCTACTATCTCTTGCACTGTTGGTGAGGAGTTATGATCCTTTGAGGAGGAGGTATTCCTAATTTTCTCCTATTTGTTGGGGCTCTGCTTTGATTTTTAGTCATCTGGTGGTATACTCACTTTGTACTTTTGTAGTATTTTTCTGTTGCTGTGTGTTCCTGTACTTCTCTATGATATGGGTAGGCTCTATACCAATTTTCCCCCCTCTACTGTGGGTGAGAATGTGGAATCTATATTAGGAGTTTTAGGTTCAGGTTTTCAGAGGGTAATTTCTCTCCTTTTACTGCTAAGGAAGTTATGGGGAAAGAGGATTTTCA